GTTATGCAGGCTTGCACACATCTGAAAATTCTTTAACACTCTCACTTTTACTTATGTTTTCATGCACTGAAATAGAATTCTGGTGCATTGAATCAATTATTCCATTTCTGCCCTTCACCTGCATTACCCTTGCATATTCGATTTTTAAAGTACAGCATCCTGCATATATATCTGCTCCATTGAGTGCTGCCTTAGCCTTCTGGGCACAGAGAACAGATTCAAATGTATATCGTGTTAAGGTTTTTTAAAAAAATGTTTAAGTAAAGATTCCTCCCCCTCAAAAGAGACAATTAAAGATGTTTTAGAATAACCTACACGTACCTTACCAGGAATGAGGTATCTAAAAAATGTTGACCTGTTTAGTACTGAAGAAGAGCTTTGGCTGTCCACATTCTCAACATCAGCCTAAGCCACATCTTGTCTACTTCTGAAGTGCACCAAGTTTAGGATGAGATTTCTAACACTTTAAATAGACTCATTCTACTTATGGTTAATACAAGTACAATAAAAGCCTCAGTTAATTTCTACAAGTTTCTGCGTGCTTACTTAACTTTAAAAAGGCAGACACACTACAGTTCAGAGTGAATCTGGAAGGGCCATTTCAGCCACATTTTATCAGCACACATAAGTTATTGACAAGTTCAGTAAATGACTGTAACGCCAGTAGAAAAAGGCTTAAAAATGGACTGTTGAAAAAGAGCAGAGGCCAGTATCTTCCCTTAGTACTTTGAATGCAGGTAATAAAAGGTCGGGACAGGGGAGTCATAAATTCAGTTACTTTATGCAAGAAACTAAGACACAGGAAGGAGAGATTAAATAGGACTTCCTTTCCAAGACAAGAATTCCATCACTGAATGAGGAAAAAAGGAACTTAAGGAATTTTACAAGCAAAACACCTAAACAGGACAGTCTAGGTGGCAGGTGCTGCAACTGGGGCATTACTGAGCTTAAATTAATTCCATTGCCTGGAAATGCAGATGAGCTTACAAGAGATGGTGGTCTTGTGGTGTTTCAGACTACTATCGTTTCCCCACAAAAAACTACAGTTCTCAGGAGCTAAACACAAAAGCATGTGAACAGCCTGCATAGTCCCAGTGCATGATTCACAATCCTCCTGTATTTAGTGATATGCAGTGCTCGGTTGCCTAGTAGGCCCGTGCGAAATTTCAGCAGCCGTTTTGTTTTGGAGGTATTTGGGGCCGTTTTGGCACCCGAAACACCAAATCTGAATCAAAACAGAAGACTCAGAAACATCTTCAAAACGAAAACAGGCATCCAAAACGTTTTGGAAATGTTTTGGAAAATTTCAGTTTCAGAGCTGGGCTTGCAGGGAAACAGCCGTACACTGCTGCCCTGCTGTGCAACTCAGCTCCGCAGGGAGTAGAGATCCACACTGGGGGTATCCTCACCGTGGCATCCTCACCGCGGCTGCCTGCCCTGCGCTGTCCCAGCAACGCAGCGCTGCACAGGGCAGGCAGCAGTGGCGAGGAGACCCCCAATGCAGATCTCTGCTCCTTCTGGAGCCAAGTTGCACAGCAGGGCAGGGCTGGTCCCTGCCACGCAACCTGGCTCCGCAAAGAACAGAGATCCGCACCAGGGTCTCCTTGCTGCCGCTGCCCACCGCACCCAGTCCCATGTCACCAGGGCAGCGCGGGGTGGGCAGTGGCGGTGAGGAGACCCCTGGCACAGATCTCTGCTTCTTGAGGAGCCAAGTTGTGCAGCAGGGACCAGCAGACTTGCTCACCGCTCTACGTTGCTTCCCTGCCCTGTGACCCAGCGTGACAGGGATCAGAGATCCACGGAGGGTCTCCTCACCTGCACAGAGCGCAGCAGCGCTTCCCCTCCCCAAGATAAGGCACCCACAGCCCTGTCCTGCTCCCCACTGGGTCCCTGCAGTCCCCAGCCCCAGGCCCCGCCTCGCTGGGTAGGGTTATGCAAAGCTTCCCTTGCAGCTCATTTAAAACAGATTCAGGGGAGCCGAATATCTGAAACAGATTTGGCCGAAATGAAACAGGACAGTGATCCGAAACACTGAAACAAATCACCGTCCTCCAAAACGGCCGAATCCAAAACCGAATTGAAACACAGCCATTTCACACAGCCCTATAATGCACTCTACTCCGGGAGACATTCTAATGAAGGATTTAACCAAATGAATCATTAAAAAGTTCTATACAGTTTTCCTTGTGTGTTGTTATATTAACTGCATCTTTGTGGAGAAGTGTAATGTACTGAAAATGTGTAATTGCCCTGCAGAACTTACTACATGCAACAGAAAGATTTACTGATCAGAGCTTCTAGCAAGTATAGGAAGCAGTTTTGCAAGCACAGGAGATACGTTAGCTAGATACTGCTGCAAAAACAAGCAGCATTGAAACAGATGGTAATAGTGAAATTATCATCACTGGGTTTCAGAGTTACAGCTACATACACCTGAATGTGCAATAAAGGCAAAGACACCCTCAAAGCTATTGTTTCAGACTACTTGCTTACACACAGATTGTACTTAATGTCCTCTGCAACTGCACGTTAAAAATTTGCTTTAAATACTGGAATGTTGCAGAATTTAAGCAGACAGAAAAGCGTTGGGCAAAATTTGCAGCCACAATAATGGAGGGAAAAAAAAAAAACACTTACAGTATCCCTCATCTTTAACATAGAGTTGCAGGCTGTAGAAGATACCTTATCCAGCAGTGAGCTACCTAATCCAATTAACATTGGTTATCATAAACATGCAACAATTTTGTATAGCAAAATAAACTATTCTCTGTTGGGGTGCATAGTCTTCAAAGTCAAACTTCTGTACTAAAGACAAACAGCAGCAACTAGTTCCTTGTTTTGGTGTTAAGTATAGCTTGTATCCCTGGCAAGTTACTGAAGAGACCCTCAGTTTAGTTCTCCATGCACTCAGCCCAAGAACACCAACAGACTGGTAATATCTGTGGTCCTCTGAAAGGCACATTAAGAGACAGAGACCAAATTTTGTGCCAGACATTTCATTTGTATGCCAAGAAGCAGAAACAGGGCAGTGGGGGAAGAAATCAGCCTCCATAGACAAGATTGCTAGAATGCTATAAAGGTTCAGTCATACTGGACTTTGGACCTTGATATGTACCATAATCTATTAACTATTCTCAGTCACAGCTGTTTCTTTCACTTAAATTCAGTGGCAAGTAGTATAGTAAGTGGTGAGCTAACACTGAGAAAAGAATGTTTCTTCTCCGTAACGACAGTTTAAGCTAGATTAAGCATAGTATTTTATACAAGCAACAACTGAGAGAAATACCTCTTTAAAAAGGTACTGTCAACTAGACAAGTGCTGTAACAGTTAAATCATTTCCAACAAGTGCCCCAGAACATTCTTACCAATGCTGAGTTTGTAACTAAACATTATTTAAAAAAAAAAAAAAACAACTTACCTTTAGTATGCAACACCCCTAAAAACAGCAGAAACTATTCAACTGCTTGTATGCTTGGCAGCAATATCTGCATGAATAGGAAAGTGATTTAATCTTTCATTCCAATAATTTTAGGGGTTTCTTTTAACAAGTTATATAACGTTCCTGACAAAAAATTCTACTGGAAGCAGTCCTTCACAAAACATTCAGGCACAAGTTCATTTGCAGCATGCTTTGGAAGCAGCAGTGCCTTGCTTTTGAACTATAAGATATTTGAAGCTGAAGAATAAACTGAAACCTTCCTAAATATTCTCGTATTTAAATGACATCTGTAGCAGAGTACATGCAAAGTATTAATAAAAGGATATTCAACCATTGCTTGTATTCCATTTCTCTTGAATATAACAATACGTTGCACTTTCCCAACAGGGTTGCACACTGTATACAAGACATCCTATTAAAAAAAAAAAAAAGAGAGAGAGAGAGTGTTGAAATGTAAATACACTATCTTCAGATTAAATTTCATGGTGTCAAAATTTAAAATTCAAATAAGATTTTCTTCTCCACTCAGAACATTCACTGATGCTGAATGTTCATCCAGAGGTTAGGAATTACCCTTAAGTAACTGTATCATAATTAACTATCAAACCTCTTCACAGAAAATAGATAATTCCTAATGTAAGCAAATCCCTACAGGGGAGTTAAATTACCTAACCAGTGAGTTTATGAATTGAAACCGAACAGACTTCACCTGAGAACATGGCTCAGCTAGAACATAAAGAAGAAATCTTAACACATGCATCAAAAACAAGGTCATTACAGGTCGTTCTCCTGTCCCTTCAACGAATACAGATATAGCAAAAAAGTGTTTTTCTAGTGCATGAAATTCAAAGCTGAAATCATAATTTATGAAAGCACCATTTTCAAAGTTGCAATCCAGGCAATCCCTCTAAAACAGGGGCAGGCAATTATTTTGGAGAGAGGTCCACTTACTGAGTTTCAGCAAGCCATCAAGGGCCACATGACAGGCAGCCCAGGGCAGATTAATATTAATTTTCTAAATTTTTTAGGGGCCCCAGAGGCCAGAGAGAATGGCCTGGTAGGCCACATTTTGCCCACCCCTACTCTAAAATGTACATAAAGAACCCTCAAGACACCATAACACATGGCTACATTGCATTAAGGATATACTTGTAATGAAGTAGTTCTGAGACCCTTTATTTTGCTCACTTTATGTATTAAAACTCATACATATGGTCATACATATGGGTGAAACATCACCAAGGGACCAGGAAAAGGAAGGAGGGAAAAAATCTCTTCTTTCATTTATCAAAACGATCTGTTCTTAGACATGTTGGTCCAGATCTAAGGCCTTTTTTTTAAAATAGTTAAATCACTGGCAGGTGAAAGAAAGTAACCCAATATTTACCAACAGGCACAAAGCTGCTTAACTGAGATCAGGGATGGGCAATTATTTCAGCTAAAGGGCTGCTTAACAAGTTTGGGTGAAGAGTCAAGGGCCACAAGGGTAGTCCCAACTGTTGACAGGTGCCCTCACCCCTGGTTACCATCCTGGGACCAGAAGTCCCACTCCCTATCCCCTGACTTTTGCCACTGGATGTCTCTCCCCTTGCCCAGGAAGCACTACTTGGGGGGGGGGGGGGGGGGG